GGTTTTCGTTGTGTTGTGCTGATTTCGTTGTGTTGTGCTAATTTCGGTGTGTTGCGGCTTGTTTTCGTTGTGTTGTGCTAATTTTGTTGTGTTGTGTCTTGTTTCCATTGTGTTGTGCTAATTTTGTTGTGTTGTGTCTTCTTGTTTCCATTGTGTTGTGCTAATTTCATTGTGTTGTGGCTTGTTTTCCTTGTGTTGTGCTAATTTTGTTGTGTTGTGGCTTTATTGTTTCCATTGTGTTGTGACTTGTTTCCGTTGTGTTGTGCTAATTTCCATTGCGTTGTGCTAATTTCATTGTGTTGTGGCTTGTTTCTGTTGTGTTGTGCTAATTTCGTTGTGTTAATTTCCATTGTGTTGTGCTAATTTCATTGTGTTGTGGCTTGTTTCCGTTGTGTTGTGCTAATTTTGTTGTGTTGTGGCTTTATTGTTTCCATTGTGTTGTGACTTGTTTCCGTTGTGTTGTGCTAATTTCCATTGCGTTGTGCTAATTTCATTGTGTTGTGGCTTGTTTCTGTTGTGTTGTGCTAATTTCTTGTGGCTTGTTTCCGTTGTGTTGTGCTAATTTCCATTGTGTTGTGCTAACTTCATTGTGTTGTGGCTTAATTGTTTCCGTTGTGTTGTGACTTGTTTCTGTTGTGTTGTGCTAATTTTGTTGTGTTGTGGCTTATTTTCGTCGTGTTGTGCTAATTTTGTTGTGTTAATTTCATTGTGTTGCGGCTTGTTTCCGTTGTGTTGTGCTAATTTCGTTGTGTTGCGCCTTGTTTCCATTGTGTTGTGCTAATTTCGTTGTGTTGTGGCTTGTTTCCATTGTGTTGTGCTAATTTTGTTGTGTTGCGGCTTGTTACCGTTGTGTTTTGGAGATTTCGTTGTGTTGTGCACTACTGGTCCACTGTAGAAACATGCAGATAATATCTACACAGCTGTGCTAAAATCCAGATCAAGGAAAATAGGAAAATCAGGGAATTTTTAAATTAATATTTCAGTCCTGGAAATTATGCTAATTATGCTAGTAATGTTTCTTTGGCTAAAAATTGCTATCCTTCAGTGCAAACTTTATAAAATGTGTTTTCAAATATCTATCCAAATAATCAGGATTGACTTTAAAAGTCATGTAAAGACTGGCAATTTATTGGTCAAAAGGTGTGGGAACTCTGTAAATGAAGCATTGGAAACTGATACAAGGACAATTATAGGCTAGTGTCAGTATTTTCAAAAATTGGCAATTTAATTGGTCTGGGCTGTACATTGGTCACTACTATTAATGTCTGGCTTTGGTTTTTGATGGTCTTTCAGTCTTTTTCTAGTTGCACTGTCCAATGGACAATCTAATTTCAGTAGACGGTTCATTTCATTTTTATTTTCTCTAAACCAGCCCAGGTCCAAGGTCCCACCCCTCTTTTGCAGGCTTCAAGGCAAACCTGTTAACCCTGTCCTCTATTTGCCTTGCATACATGTAAAAGTTAATTGCGTTCTCACTCCATCTGACAAATTTCCATCACTGTTACCTGCAGGTTGGCAGACTGGCACACAGGCACAGATGGCAGAGGTGATGGAGGGTGTATCCACGGCAGCAGTGCCCAATGGCAGTGTGGACTGGCAGAAGAGATGCATCGCTCTGGAGACGCAGCTCATGAGGTTTCGTCTACAAGCGGGAAACATCCGCCACCTACTTGCTGAGAGGGTAAATGAGGGGTGTTATGGGTAACACAGGGCCTACAATTCGCCCACTGCGTTCCAGTTACGCATATTATTAGTTTATTTTATGTACATTTTGCACAGCCTATGTATGCATAAGTTATAAATATCAATCCCCTTGAGTTAGACTGTAACAAAGCCATTTTATTTGACAGTGAACATTGCATGCTCTATAAGGCCAGATAATATAGTAAACATGCTGCAGGGTTGCATCTTATGACTTGCACATGAAGTCTTCAGCCTGTCCCATCATCCTAACTCATGTAGCGTCTGGACCAATCAGACACACCATTTTTCATTTGATTTAACAAATCACTAACAAGAAAGTTCCAGAAAGTAATACTGCCTTTTTATTTTTTGGACTTGGTACTTTGTATTTTTTAATTGGACATTTACCATGGTATGTAAATATGTTACTTGAACACTGTAATCATTCAGTACCATGATATATACAGTATATCAAAGTATTGTGGTTTTACAATCTGATATATCACTGTTCTATGGTATTTTTTTGTACTGGTGATATCAGCTGATTCTTTTTCTCATTTATTTCTTTTAAGTAAAAGTCTTTTTTTTTCTCAGTCACAGTGGAACAAGTTACTTAGTTTCTTCTCTGCTCTTTCTCTCCCTCCTCCTGTATGGTTTGGTCATGCTGCATTGACCTCAGCGTTTCGTCTTGCAAGAAAAGGTTAACTGTCAAACTTGGCAGGCGGCCTTGCAAGGAAAGTCAGGGGGAAACCACTGACTCGTGTGAATGCTTGAGTGGATATACAGGTGTGTGTCAGTGTGTGCATTTTATAGACAAGGGAAGGAATTGTTTATTAATTACCAGATTACCAAAAGTAACTGTCTTTGGACATTTTCTGAAGAAACTGATGTTGTTTATTTGTGGCCGCTTTGTTAGGGTGTTGTGGGTGGTTGCAGAACATTGCTACATGGCTGCTATGGTGTTCTAAGTGGTTTCTATGTGTGATGTTGCTTGAACATACTCCAATAGTCTGGAGGTAGCAAACCTAACTACTCTAGGGGGCGAAAGAGCTTTCAAACATAATGTATAGGCATAGATGCTATTTACAACAAGTGCAATATATGCTATTTACACTCAGTGAAAATAGCATATTTTCTTAGCAATTGATGCTATTTACACTAAGTGCAAATACTTATAGATTCTATTTACACTATGTAAAAATAGGAATATTTTCATTGCAATAATAGGTAAATGCTGTTTATACTACTTAGTGCAAATAGTGGCACATATCTGCACCTCACTACTGTAGAACATTATATGCAATAACATGTGTAAATTATAATTGTTATTAAAATTATTAAATGGATGCTGCTTTGGGACAATAAAAGCCATCACTACACCTAACCCTAACCTTAACCAATAAACACCTGTGAGGTACGTTATTTTCCCTTTTTGATTATTTCCTTAATTTTTATTGAAAATAAATGCCTTTCCGATTTGATGTGTGATGTGAAAAGGGAGAAGAACGAGTTCGGCAAAAGGCGGATTCAAACTCGGGTCAGTTGCGTCAAAAAAATACTTGCTGCACGCTTTACTACCTACCTAAGCTGCTGTTTAATGGGCGTCTTTTGCAATGTTGTCTAACCATACCACACACTGGTCGGCGGAGTTAGTGTAAATAGACACTCCGTAATGTCCAATTATTCAGGTCACTACAAACGTTTTGGCTTTAACAACTTACTTAGCAATATTCTTTCTAAGATGTTGTTTTACTATTATTGTAGTTGACCTCAAAGAAGCCCTACAATTAGTTTTTTTTTTTTGTGCTAGCTAATCTTAAACTGCCATGATAGTAGTTGACCTGAAAGAGAAAACTGTCTGTAAAAAAGACATTTACACCAATACCTACTGTAGTGCCCCTTGTGGCAACACTCAAAATGCAAAGCGTACTTGCGTGAATTGTAATCAAACTAATTTCAAATAACAACAACACATAAAAGTAGGGCTGCACGATAAATCGCATGCGATATTTAATGCGCATCTTGTCAGAAAGCCCGTTCTTG